ACATTCCGTAGAATGTCATCATTTATTTTATCAACTTTTATCAAAATCCTCTGGGAACCAAATATACAGAGTGATTCTAGAAATAGGGTCATAGCTTTGTTCCAAATGAAGTTAGAAAAAAATTGAAGAGGAAAATTTTGCATTGTTTAACAAGCTCTAGCATCCTATGAAACTATTTTTTCACAAGTGAATCAGTGCACTTGCAAAGTACAATTTTATTTTCTCCTTTTACATGGAACTGAATATTTTTTTTTTTTTTACATAGATAATTCTCTGAAACATTCTACGCATAAAAGTATTAGAAGATTAAAGCTCCCTGAGATATTTCAAATTTTTAGTAAAACGTATACTTTGTTCAAAAAAATGTTCGAACGTTCCATCGTCACACATCTTCAAAGAACTATACATTTCCTAAAAAATTTGAAATTCCACACGAAGTACCATTCTTTCCAACGTCATACCTTAACACTTTTATACACCGAAAAAAATACACTTCTATTTTAAAAAAAGAAAGTGCACCGATACATTTTGAGAAAAATTCAGGTCACAAGTCAACCTCTTTCTAACTTCGTTTAAAACAGCGCTACAGTCTGACCCAATTTCTAGAATTACCCTATATAGTACAACCTTGTAACTTTCTTCACCATAATTCACAACAAAACCGAAGTTCCCTGTGAAAATAAAAATAGAACGGTCTTCTGCCCTCCATCCATATATTTAGTCCTACGTGACACGCTTCCGCAGCACGCGACATTTTATACGAACCTAACCACCCCGTTAGCCGAGGATTGGTCTGTATATGGTGCGTTTCCTGTTACGTTACGCGTCTGGCCGAAACATCAAACGATTATTCACCGGTGTCTAAATTTATTCAACAGAATAACCAACTCCGCGAAGGAAACGCGATATTGACAGAGGAGAGAAAACGACCACGCATTGACATTTCGGACATTTCTCGATGGTTACCACACGCGTTGCGCTCACACTTCTAATTTAGATCGACGCGCTATGCTACTCGCGCTCGCAGTCGGATGATTTTCTTTTCGTGGAAACGGACACGTTGCAGCAGCACGCTGGATTAAACTTTCGTCTCTGAACAAACGTGACGAAGTCGTTCTTGCAATTACGCCCCTTCGAGCAGCACATCCGTTTAGTATATACCGGGTGTCCTAATTTTTTTTCGGCAAAAATTTGTCGGTGCATTCTATGGGCATAAACAAGGAAAAAATGTTGTATAAACGTAGGTCGTTCGAAGCTTTATTAAAAAGTTACAAAGAAAAATACGAAATTTGAGGTTATGGTACGAGATAAGGATAAGTTGTCAATCAATGTTACGCAACACCTTCAATCACCTCAGATAGTAACCACAGCTCGAATAAAAGGAGTGGATATAAATATCACTGATCTATTCCTACGTCGAGTCATAGTAATTTCAAGTCCGTTTATCGTTCCCCACATATTTTTGCTATAACTCCTTAATAAAGCTTCAAACCACCTATGTTTACGTAACATTTTCTTCTTATTTCCACCTATAGAACACACTGACAAAGTTCGATCGAAAACAAAAATAGGACACCCGGTATGTATATATACTTAACTAAACCCGGATAAATAGGGAGACTGGTAGCCGATGAAAACACTTTAGAAACGAGAAAACGATGCACGAGAGACCGTAATGCAATTACAACTGTTCTTCCCTGGTACAGGAGCGTTTACAAGGTGCAAGGAATGCCAATTGCGTCGATAAATCCTCGATAGAACTCGTCTCCGTCTAATACAGAAAAGGTCGTCATATTACGATGTTTCCCGTTCGAAACGAGCACCTCCTCTTCAGATCGTATCCTCTCCCCGTCTACAAATCGACAATTAAACGCCTCGATAAAATGTGGAAAGTTATGCGCCTCCTGGCTGTGCATAAAATTCCACCCTCGGTTCTGGTATTTTCCGAGGCCCGTAATTGCAGCCTGCAGCGACACCCTGACATTTCGCAGGCCTCCTCGCCTGTCGAGGAGAGAGCGAACGGTCGGTCTGTCGGTCGATGCGACCTAGTCGATCTCTCCCTCTTGCCTCGGCCAATTTACGGTCCGTATCCTTTTGATTTGTGGCAGGGTGGCAAGGTTTGCTGACCGACAGCCAAAACGGAGCAGCACGTAAGGAGAAACGTGGTCACGTAAGGACGACACGCGGGAGAACAGGATGACGTGTACTGTTAGGATGAATCGCGAGCATCAGGCAGATCCTTTTTTTGGACATGTCGCCGGGGTGACATCATCGTTGGGTAAAGCGCGTGTGCCTAATGCAAAACGATTTTGCGGTTTTCAAGCACGTCCGTTATTCTTTCGTGTTCGTTACGCGGTGTCGGTTGAATCCTAATAGAATACGAGACGGCGAAGTGAAGAAGGAGAGACGAGGAGATTTTTTTCTATTTCATAATACAACCCTGATGGAGTTGTGCGCACCGAGAGTCTCTCGAACGTTATTGCGTTTACACGGATGCCTGGTTTATGATGCATTGCGTATTGCAGTCTCTCTCACCTTGGACGACACCGGATGTCCAGATCGACGTTGAGATGTCCTTTGCTTTTGTCCCTGGCGAAATTCGAGGGAAGAGGAAGATTTAGAATTGAATGTAATCGCGTGAAGGACGGAGCCGTAAATTGTCCAGGAAGATTTAACGGTGATGCGCTCACCCTTCTCTTGCCTTTCGATGATACTTAATTGTAACTGTTAAGAATACAGTAACGGCGATGTCCGTTCGTATAAATTCGTTGTTTTTACTTTGTTCACGTTTAACTGGCCGTTCGCCAAGGTGCGGTTATTATTAGCCCTCCGATTATCTCTAATCCATTTCCTCGAGAAACTTGTCACCGATTCGACACGTGAGGTCAGAGGAGGAAAAGGAAGGAAGGTAGGAGAGAAGGAACGAGTGTGTGTACCCATGGTGAGAGTAAATTGAGCAATGGGACACTGTGGCGTCTTTTCTAGGCCGTTGCCAGGGGTGGCCGTCGCAGTGTCGTGCAGCCTAGGGGTTGCAGGCTAAGTAGAAACAGAACTAGCAGCACACGGTGGTCAGCCATTAACCTAGATTCTCTCACTGGCCATTCTCGATCTAATCGTGCCCCTTTTTCCTCCTTTTTTTCCATTCGAAATAATGCAATCCTTTCATTCAATAACACCCACAGAAATATCGCCTTTCCATACGGTTTCAGTGTACACCTTTAACACGGCTTCGTAGGTATTTTTCACGTTGCTCAAGAGAAAAACTCGAATCGAATTTACATATTAATCACGTCCATTTCCTACTATCCTACCTGCTAATCTTTCATTATCAAGTATAACCTAAATTCAACTATAGAGAGACATGAGCACGATTGAAATCTTGCAACTCCGAGATCGGCAAGAAAATTCCATTGGATTTAAATTTAGAATCCTAGAGGGCTTATCAAAGAGAGGCGTTCGCGATGCCCTAAATCTGAAAGCTTTTCAGACACTTCACAGCTCCGTCCACGGAACGAGCATAAATTCACGAAGCCTGTAATAAAGGATAAGCGAGATCTCGAGCGCCGACAACACGTGTTCTTGCGAGCACGCGGTGGTTAACCGGGGGAGGGAGAGACCGGAAGTGGGTCACCACTCGACGACACTTTTCATCCGTCGCGCTCGAGGAAAAGAGTGCCCGGTAACGAAATCAAATATATCCGTACGACAGGAAGAAAAAATCGAATTATACAAAAGTGTGTCTCGAGCAGAAAACCCACCCCGCTATACGGCACATCCCATTTTTCCGTTAATACAAGGGAGTGGTTCTTTCTGGTTTGCAACCGAACCGATAGCATAGAAGTAAGGTGAGTGAAAATGGGGTAAACTGGGTGTAGACACGCGGCTCGTCGAGGGTGTGGACCTCTCTCTCCCTTATTTCGTTCGTTCTATCGGGGTTGTTTCATCGGTGTTCCTTTATTCGGTTAACTCTAACGGCTGGCCGCCGTCGTGGCGGTAGCACGCGGTGTTCTAAGGTAGAAACACACGCGCGAAGATGTAGAGGAAAGCATTGTTGGAAAGACGACGTTGTATTATGGGGTCGTGGTATTATTAGAAAACGGTGTGTGCTTACATACGCTGTCCTGAAATTAAGCTCATGTCGTGCACTAGAAATCTAATTTCAACCGGCGTTTGTCCTTCTTTCGATCGTTCCTCGAGGCCTTCTTTCCTACCTACGAGAAATAAATCTCCTCGCGGTGTGTTTCTTCAACAGTGATCCTTCTCTGACCGATAATTTCCCGTTCCTCTTTAAACAACGATCGTTGGATAGAGATGTCGTTTTTAGATCATTACACTTCAAGGTGTCGTTGTGTAAATTGGTCGAACGGCGTACAACTGGATTTCTGTACTCGGCGAGTATCAGTTAAATGACATTTACATCAAAGGTCCTGGTAGAATTGTGTTCGCTGTTAGATCGTGTTAGAGTAAGACCACGTTTTTTCTTGTAGTCGCGAGGGATTTTTCTTCTTTTGTCAACGTGGAACGAAAAAATTCTCGTAGGTGTTCCTTCGGTTTCTTATGCTTTCGCTTGCTAATAAGGCGCGAGCGCGTGAAAGTGACGCGAGTAGCGAACAAAAGAGCCGGGAATTCTAGAGGGATTTTTTTCTTCTTCGTTTCTTTCTTTGCTAAAAGAGAAGTTCGAAAAGCGAATGTTGCGCGCCACGGTGATCTTAATGAAACGTGACCGCTACTCGGCGTGTAATTAAATACACAACGCGGTTCTTTTTTCTGTTCAGGTTGGTGTAAACCGGCTAAGAGCTCGGAGGGCGAGGACTACAACGACGATGATCCACCGTCTGATTACAACGACGACGACACTGTCGACGATGTAGATGACGCTGGCGCGTTCGAGGAACCACCGGCTATCATGTCCAGGCCTGAATCTATACAGGTGAGGAACGGGAGCACGATCTCGTTGCCTTGTCTCCTGAGAAATGCAGGTTTGTGTAAAATTGATATATTTATTATGAAAATGGTCTGAATTAAAAATCTGAAAAAATTCTGTTCATCGCTTGGTTCGAGTTGCATCGATCTTTTCGTGAAAAAGAATTCGTTTACAAGAGCAAGTATTTTGTGAAATTAATTTGTTAAATAATGACACGAGATTGGTTGCCCTGTCTCGTGAAAATGCAGGTTTATACAAAATTCGAAAAATGGTCTGAATTAAAAATTTCAGAAAATTGAGTTTATCACTTAGTTCGAGCTGCATCGATCTTTTCATAGAAAAATTTCATTTGTAAAAGCAAGTATTTTGTGAAAAATCTCGTTACATGACAACACAAAAGGCACGATCTAATTGCTTTGTCTTTTGAAAAATGCCAGTTTGTACAAAATTGAGACGAGGTTTATTACAAAAATGGTCTGAATTAAAAATTGCAAAAAATTGAATCTATCACTTATTTCGAGGTTAAATCGGTATTTTCATAGAAAAGATTTCATTTACAAGAGCAAGTATTTTGTGAAGTAATTTGTTAAGTAATGACACTAGATCACAACCTGTTTACCTTGTCTCGTGAAAAATGCAAATTTGTGTAAAATTCAGATGATACTTTTATTACGCGAATGGTTTAAATTAAAAATTTAAAAAGTTAGATCGATCTTTTCGTAGAAAACGTTCTATTTATAAGAGTAAGTATATTTTATGAAATACATAATTTATTAAATGACAACATAACAGCGTGATTTGTTTGCTACGTCTTGTAAAAAAATGCGGATTTGTACAAAATCGAGATGATATTTTTGAAATTGTCTAAATTGGAAATTTAGAAACATTGTATTTATCACTTATTTTAAGTTACATCGATCTTTTCGTGGAAAAGATTTCATTTGCAAGAGCAAGTATTTTGTGAAATAATTTGTTAAATAATGACACGAGATTGGTTGCCCTGTCTCGTGAAAATGCAGGTTTATACAAAATTCGAAAAATGGTCTGAATTAAAAATTTCAAAAAATTGAATTTATCACTTTACCTATTTTACGTTGCATCGACCTGTCCATAAAAAATATTTACGTTATAAGAGCATATTAAGTATTTTATGAAATAGTCTGTTGCATAATGGCAAAAATAGTTTTTAATGCACCCAAAGGAAAATATCTCCAAACGAAAAATATGAAACTTACGCCACTTTCCTAATCACCGGTGTAATAACCGTTTTAACGATACAGTTGCGAAACTGCAATTTTTCCGAATCTCAGCTTGTCATCAAAGTATAATGCGGTAAAGTCACGTGAGTGTACACTGTTGTGTTGCATAATTGGAGAAAATCAGCGCAAACGTGATTTTAGATTAACGGACCAAGTGTTTTTTCTTCTCTCTTGAAAAATTAAGTTTCTGCAGTTTCGCAATTTGCAACACCGTTGCAATTATTCACATCTTATTTTTTTTTTTTATTTAACACTTCACTGAAGAATAAAATCGAGAGCAAACGTGACTTTAGATTAACGAACAAAGTGTTTTTTCTTCTCTCTTGAAAAATTAAGTTTCTGCAGTTTCGCAATTTGCAACACCGTTGCAATTATTCACATTTTTCTGAATTTTTCACTTGATACTTCGCTGAAAAGTATTTTTTTAAAATTCCCCGTTTTTCGGCTCGCGAAACCAAGCAGTTTCTTTGAAGAAGTCGCGGCGTATTTATGAAAGGTGTGTACAGAATGAATCACTTTCTTACCAAGACTTATGCTTTATTCAAGGAAACGCTGAAACGTTCCGTCGTTGCAACAAAAGGATTTTTTACATCGTTTTACAGGGACCGTTGTAGTAGCATTGCTCAGAAAAATGTGTCATTCAAACGAAACATGAAATCTGATGATAAAAATCTCACTTTTTAATGCAACACAGTTGAATAATCTAACCTTTCATAGACATTCTCGGGTCTTCGACGATCCAAATGATTGAATTCTTCGAAACGAATTTTTATGTTTGAACAAAATTAAAAAGAAATAGCGAACAAAATTTTTTAAATTTCACTTAACCAGCAATTGTATTCCAGAATTTTTTCAGATTTTTCGAAGGCTTGAAACAGTAAAAAAGACTTTGTAGACTTTGACACGAAGTTCCCTAATTTATCTACGAAGGGTCAAAGTTGACCCCATCAAGATTTCGAAATATCTTCGACAATTTAGCAACGTAGTTGATAGATTAAAGCTTGTTATTAAATTGAACGATTTAGACACTCTTTTCAGATTTTTCGAAAGCTTAAAACGATAAAAAAAAAATTAAACTTCGACACGAAGTTCCCTAATTTATCTACGAAGGGTCAAAGTTGACCAACTAAGATTTCATAAATGTTTCCGACAAATTCGCAACATAATTGACAGGGTAAAATGAACTATTAGTTAACAACTTCGAGGCTTGATCAAGATTTTGAAATGTTTCAGACAGTTTCGCGGTGACATGGAAAAAGGACGACGAGTTCCTGTTTTACGACTCGAATCCGATGAAAAAGGATTACAGGATGGTTCGTCTGCCAAACAACACTCTGGTGATTCACAATGTAACGGCCAACGACACGTCCAACTCTTACGAGTGCAGTATTCTGATCGAACCACCGCTTACGATTAAACACAGAGTGCTGGTCTATTCTGAAAGAGGGCCGATTTCACCATCGCCGACGCAACCTCATAAAGAGCCTCCGATACGTGTCACTCCTGGGAAAAAGGTTGAGATAAAGGCTGGTAAAAATCTTACCCTTGGTTGCGAGACGAATATAGAACCGACACCTGAAATTAAATGGTATTACGAGGTAAAATATTCGAATTTTTCATGAAATAAACACGAGATATTTTTCTTTTTTATTCGATGAAAAATTATCGTTGTTTTATTCCCTTTTTTTTTTCTTTTTTTTTTCATAGAACGAGAGAATTCATAACCATACAATCTCTGGAAACCATATAACTATCACGAATATTACCAAACATAACGGAGGACGTTATCAATGTTTGGCTGAAAACGGTTCAGATAATCCACCTGTGGAAGCTATCAACGTGGTTGTTAACTGTAAGAATTCGAGGAAGTTGGTTGCAACGTTAAACGGCGACCTACTTATTCTGTATTTAAAAATGTTTGCCTTGACGAATAAATCAAACATAAAAAAAAATTGTATTTGTTTTCGTAGATGCTCCAGAAATAGAGACAAAGGGGAAATCAGTGCATACCGGACTTGGGGTTGAATCGTGGTTAACGTGTATCGTGCACGCTCACCCGCATGCTAAAGTGGTATGGTTGAAGGATGAAGAGGAGGTGGTGCCGAAAAAAGGCAGCATAGAGATCAAGGGTAACAAAACCAAGCATGTCCTCGAGATTCTGCATACAGAGAAGGAACACTTCGGCAACTACACGTGCGTGGCGGAGAACAAAGTGGGACGGGCTGAGAAAACCATTTCCCTTACCGGTAATTTTCTCGTCCCTTTGAAGAGAAGATTTGAAAGTAAACTGAATTTTTTATAATTGAATGTAGACATTTGAAAGTTTGAATATTTGAAAGTCTGGATATTTGAAAATTTTTAAATTCGAAAATTTGAATATTTGAAAATTTGTAAGTTTGAAAACTTAAATATTTGAAAGTTTGAATATTTGAAAGTTTCAATATTCGGAAGATTGAAAGTTTGAAAGTTTAAAAGCTTAAAAGTTTGAAAATTCGATAATTTTAATATTTGAAAATTTGTAAGTTTGAAAACTTAAATATCTGAAAGTTTGAATATTTGAAAGTTTGAAATTGAATATTTGATAATTTGAAAGTCTGAATATTTGAAAATTCGAAAAATTGAAAGTTTGAAAATTTTTATATTTGGAAATTAGAATATTTGAAAATTTACAGCTGAAAATTTAAAAACGCAACATTTTGAAATTAAAGTGATTTTATTCCCATTATACTTAATTCGCTGAACCACTTTCTAGGTCTTCCTTCTCAAGCGATTATTTCTGGTGGTGAGATGGCGAGGACCGCCACGGGATTTATATTGAAATGGCAATTGGAGAGTTACTCGCCAATTACTGAATACAAGGTAAGTTACTTTATATTTATGCAAGTTCTATAATGTTACAACTGAAACGTGTTAACTAAATCATTACAGTTGAAGTACCGTCGCAAGGGAGAAGAAACTTGGATCACTCTGAAGCCTGCAGTAACAAACGGCAAAGGCAATCAATTCATTGTTGAACACACAATCGAAGGACTTCAGCCTGGATCGTACGAAGCGATCCTTATGGCTAGAAATGATTTCGGATGGTCTACACCGTCTAAACCGCATACGTTTATAGGAGGTACAACTACAAAAACATGAATTTCATAATGAATCGTTGCATAATAACTTGCATAACAAAGTTGTCAGTTTACTAATGTTTCTGTTTTCGATTGCTTTACAGAATACGAAGATGAACAGGCTGAGAATGGTAAATATTGTAATACATTGAGTAATGATCTCTGTTTGTAAATTAGCGTTTCTAATGAATATTTCATGCGTTTTCAGTTAAAGGATCGCCATCGAGTGCATCTCACCCTGCGTTAGCCATTGCAACATTATTCCTAGTCGTTTCGTCCTGTGCCTTCAGAAGTCTGTAATTTACCGAACTCCTTAAACTATGTAGGTATGTGAAGGAACGGCAAAAATGCTTTCCAACTTAATGCTTCCATGTTGAGACTTTTTTTCTTTTTTACATGTTAACGTATAAAATGATAATTCTTAATGTACAGGTAATTTGCTGCAGCCAAAGCGTACACCAGCAAATGCAATGGTGGATTTAGTGAAACAAGAATGTCTAGGAGAACTGTACGTTGCTGGTGTAATATATTTTTAAAAATAATGTATTAGTTATACTTATTTTAGGCAAATGCTAAACGATCTATGTGTTCCATGTAGTAGAATAATGAAACGGCATTATCTGAATTTGTATATTTGTTTGCTGTTCGAGCAAAGTTTGGTACAAAGAAGAAAAATTATACTATCGTCTGTATATCGAACAACAAGCATAAGTACAGTCTTTATATTTCTAGATATTTTGTTTTTAACAGAAATTTATCGTAGCTTAATCGTTAAGCATCTTTGATATGTAAAGGAGTTAATTCATTCAGCATGCATTAGGTAATTCTCCTAGATGTTCTGCTATGTATTACTAAAAAAAAAAGAAAGGAAGAAAAGAAAGAGCATTTTAATTGTACTCTAAATCAGGAGTAACTGTAAGGGATACTATAAGTTCAGAGATACATGATTATTATTATAATTTATTTTTGTATGCTTAAGATTACTAGATCCGTGTTCTACGATACTGCTTAGTGCCATGTACGCAAATTTATTTTCTCACGATCGTGTACAAAAAAAGAAAAAAAAAACGGCACTGATAATCCGTCCTTCGCGTGCAAACGAAGGACATGTAGGTACCTAATGTGTAATAGCAAAGAAATAATGTTACTAAGGTTCGCCGTAGCAAATCGACGAAAACAGGTGGATTGAAAGCACGTATACTAATCGACACGTTGTAAGAATCGATAATTAGGAATTCTTCTTGTATATGTGCTTTCAATTCAAATCACTATAATTTGACTTCAGTGTATAATGTTGTGCGTGGATATGAATGCCTGCTGAGAGTGCAAGAATGATGTACTGTTTTCCAAAATAGCTTCTTAGCTTTACTATAGATACATGTCGTTACACTGATTTATAACAACCGTTACGATCAATAGATTAATGAATAAACGTTGTACAAAAAAAAAAAAAAAAACAGTCGGTTCCAACAAATGGTGTACATTACGTAAATATTAATTGTAAAAATTTTCAGTCACGCTTACTTTGACGCTCTGTATATGACAACCTTTACTTTTGTATAGCGTTCGTTGCATTTATTCATATGATAATAAATTCGTTGCATAATTTCAAAATACGTTACAAATATTTCCTCGACATTTTTAGAACGAACAAGATATGTTTTACTAACTTCGATGTTTCAATTAATTTCTCACATGAACCGCTTTTCTGTGTTTTTATCCTAACAGAATCAGTTTGAAGCTGTCGCTATTTCTGTAATTTTCAAACATAATTAAAGAGCTTATTTAAAAATACTACTCTGCGATGCTTTTTTACCGATGTTAGGAACTACTCGAATCTAAGGAAACCATACCAACTGTCGATTACGTTGTTAATTATGATATGTATTACCATCTGTTGTTACATTACAAATAATAAAATTTACAAACAATATTTAATGTGTGTCTCTATACTCCAAACGCATTATTTCTTAATAAAAAGCGAAATACGCATCTTGTATTTCAACAAAATACTATGGCATCTGTTTCATTATGTTGCATGATTTCGAATGTAAAATTAACAAGATATAAAAGTAATTGTTTAGATAGCAATTGTATTAAGAAAATGCATAAAAGAATATATTTTCACGCAATAATACAGCACATTCAGTGTAGTCTATACATTTATACGTTACCTTTTAGCCGTTACGTTTGTGATATCTTTTAGGAAATGCGAAATCTAATCCGGGGAGCACGTGCCTTCTTTTTAGGTGCTTATTTTACATTCCAGTGAAGTGCGATCCCGGGATACGTTCTTTATCCTACTCTATCTACAAACATAAGTGTAGCTGTATTGACAGTGACACTCGTCACTACTACTGGTCCATCCGTGTCCATGTATTTCGATGAATTCTGCTCGCTTGTGTGGGTAAGGGCTGTGGATTTGTGGTAAGGGAAAAGAAGAAGGGGCTAAGGTACAAAGTCTGAAAGGATCAGTCACTTCTCGACAGTTCGTTTCTAGTTTTCGCAGTGACTAAAATTCATCGTGCCTTATAATGGATACAGAGAAAAGCATGTGCGCTAAATTTGTTGATAATGTCCCGGGAGATTATAATTTAACACTCAGATTATTAGAAATGTTGCAAAGAACGAAATACGAATTAGTACAAGAAAACGGACAACGTCGTTTAACCGCTCCAGAAATAGTTCGTAGTGAAAAGGAACGTACGAAAGGTGCTGAAATTTTCCTCGGGCGTCTTCCGCGAGATTGTTACGAGGACGAATTGATGCCAATACTCGAAACAGTCGGTCGTTTAATGGAACTGCGATTGATGCTCGATTTTTCCGGATCTACCCGCGGATACGCGTTTGCCTTGTTCGATAATTCAAATATCGCGAGACGCGCGTGCGCACAACTTGACGGTTATGAAATCAGACCCGGGCATCGTATCGGTGTCGTTAAATCGGTTGATAATTGTCGGCTTTTTTTCGGCGGAGTGCCAAAGAACAAAAGCAAAGAAGAGTTTTTGAAAGAACTCAAGAAGATCCTTGACGATATTACCGACATTTATCTGTACCCGTCCGCGCACGACAAAACGTTGAATCGCGGTTTCATTTTCGTCGAATTCAAAGATCACAGAGCCGCCGCCATGGCGAGGCGAAAATTAATACCTGGAAGAGTCATGTTATGGGATCATGAAATCGCGGTTGACTGGGCCGATCCCGAACCTGGTGATCCTATCGACGAAGAAATTATGGAAACGGTAAGTCTTCAATTATTCGACAAATATTCTTATTTCATATAAATATACGGAATGTTATATTATTGGAAGAACATGTATAAGGGTTGTTCGATTCAACGATGTCCTGAAAAGTAATGAAGTTCTTGTATATCCTCCTTTCTAATATTACCATCGCTCTCAGGTTACTGCTCTGTTTGTACGGAATTTGACCTTGGAAATGACACAACAGAAAGTTAGGGAAGTCTTTCAAAAGAACACACAAATCCCTGTATTAAAGTTAAAGAAAATTAATCATTTCGCGTTCATACATTACGAAAATCGCGAAGCTGCGCAAAATGTAATGGATATTATGACAAGTACGTTTCTTATTCCACTTTATTGTTCCCACTATTTTTTTTTTTTTTATTGTTATATACACTTCATTAAGAAAAATAAAAAAACAATAAAATAGAACCAGATGGCGTCGCTGAAAGTGAAGGCTGGGAAGTACGTTGGGCAAAGCCAATTGGAGCTACAAAAATTTTAGAAAGACAACGATGTATCAACGAAGCTATTGCAAAATCGAATTCACAAAATCTAGGGCAAACTTACGTTAAGCACACAGCAACGAAAAAGTCCAACGTTAAAAGTATCGTAGATATGAACGGCAACAATATAGTCGATTTGCCCTCAATGCACATGATTGCTTTACAAAACTTCATTAAAGAAAAGTTTAACGCCACTTGCTCTTTTAACTGTTTGCGCTCAGTGGGCACGTCAAGTTTTATGTGCAAAGTAAGTGTGCTCAATTATATTCACTTATATTTATTTTTATTCTTTCCCGAGTTTCTCATTATTTTCCTTTTTCTTTCTACTTTCTTAGGTATCTATTTTTAAGGAAGCTCAAGTTTTATACGAATACAACGGAGAATTAATGCCAACAAAACAAGATGCCATTATCGTTGCATGCATAAAGATGTATCATTTCGTGGGTACTACGTTCCAAAGTTACCGTAAGTACTCAGAAAAACAAGTTTTTAAAACCAAATCGAGACGCTTTGTATGTTCCAATTCGCGTGGGCATCGGTGAACGTAATTCGATACGACGTTTCTTTTGACGAGTGTAACGGGTGCCAACCTTACGGGAAAAATAACGCTTCATTTCGAAGTCTTTGTTATTCTTGACGTTCCAAATGTATCAAAATTTACTTCTGTGGTTTTTATCTTCGTTGCTTGGTTTAGAAACAGACCACCGGTTTTATTTTAATAATATAATTTAATGAGTTTTATTTAACGTATTTCTTGTGTAAGAATTAGCAAAATGCAAGTGGCGGTAAGTACTCCTAATTTATGGATATTTTCTTGTATGTTTTCAAACAGTGCTGCGGGAAAACGAGCACTATTGCATGGAACAAAAGCATGGCATTAATCCTGTGGTTGGGTCGCCAGTCAGCTGGGATAGTCAAATAGATTATAACTAGGCTAATTGTTTTTTTTTAAATAATTTTATAGTCGACTGTCCAAAGATTACTGATATTACCTATAACGTAGAGACCCGAAAGCATGATGAAAAACATATCGTAAACAGAAGCTTGAATTAACTTCTGCATCTTTAATATGGAATTAAGGTTTTAAGTAGAAAATATTTGACAATCGAATTGAATTTTTAACTGGATTTTCAAAACATATTCGTATGAAAAAATTGATTTAAATGGATTAAGTACCTTAATAATTTACAATATAAAGCACATTTTTTAATAATCAAATGAAATATCTATCAAGTGTGCTAGTTTTTAAATAATGAAATGAAAAATTTTAATTAAAAATATCTGCACAAAAATTAAGTGGAATGATAAGCCAATTTTTTAAAAAGCAGACGTTGATAAATCGAATAATAACAAAGTGAGGATGGTTGAATTTAGAAAATCTGACAATCGCAGGTTCTCTACGTTAAACACACATTCCAAATATACGTTAAGTTAATTAGTATAATAAAATTATCGTTATCACTTAAAGTATACACTATTAATTAAACTTTTAATCGAAAATTTGAGAATAATTATGAAAATCAATATAATCAACCATTGTTAATCGAATCTAAAAGAAAAGAAAGATTTTGATGTTATAATCATAGTATGTTTTTATGTTAAAAATTTTACGTAGACAATGGAAAAACGTGCCATGTTTAGTTAATAATCAATTTACAAAAGTGTAGCTTATGTCAACGTAAAAATAAACTATTTTAATAAAATAAGTAACAATAAACTAATTTCATCACATGATCTTTTTATTTCCTTTTTTTCCCTTACATATGTTAGACAAATTTTTTTTGTTTTAAATCATAAAATTACAAACTTGTCACGTGAACTGTTTAAACTTTTAAAAAACTTTCAGTTAACGAACAAAAAAAAAATAGAAGTTAACTGCAGAATTTTGAAATCCTTCGTTAAACACAGCAGAAGTTAAGAGCAGTTCTTTACACACTTTCAAAATTAAACGTTTCATTAACGTCCAATGTTACGAGGGTTCGTTGCGTATTTCATGAAGGCTAAGGAAGCACGAGGCGTTTATTATTTTCAAAATATATATTAATAATGATCATTGAGAAGCAACATTATTCGGTCTTCGTTTCTTAACCTATAATCGGAAATCATACGGTTGTCCTCCAAATAAAAACCTCGAAGCCAAAGCCTCATTCGATCGGGTTTCCAATTCTGATTTTTTTCGTGCAATAGGTTACATAGTACTTGTTTTAAATATCCAATCGTTTCTGAATGCGAAATCGGAATTTGCATCCGCGGTCCTTCAAGCCTATATATCGTTATAATCGGATGACAGCCGCATGCCAGTGCTTTTTCATAAAAAATTACATTAACAATTCATTTTATCATTTCAAAATGTATACGTTACCATCTCGTGCAAAGGACATTATTTTACCCAATTTTGATGTTCATTCGACTGTAATTTTATTAACGAAGCATCTCAAATAACGAATCATTTCCGTTCATTCGCACGTATTATTAATTTTGAATTTTATTAACGTTACTATGCACAATGTATCGATTACATCGTACGCCAAAAGAAAATTTCTTCTCGCGCTTAACTTCACGTTGTTTTTATGCAATTTAACGGGAGACGAACAGATCTATTATCCTACCAATGTCAAATTTACCTACTTTGTGTACCTTTTCTTCCTTCAAATTTTAACCACATGTTTGTTTGGATCTTCTTATGCATATTTATACGTTAGAATTTAAAAATATTGCTTGAAACCACAGATGTAATTTTTTAAAGAATACTTAACTTTTTTTCATATAAAAAAATGTTGCTATTAATGAACAAAACATGATATAATAAAACCAACATTTTAATTCACTATCTGCTCACAACAAACATATGGTTAAAATTTAGTTTCAATATCTCATACGATTTTTAAGAAAAAAGTACACGAAGTTTGAGAAAGTTAACTTCCGAAATATCTCCGTTAAAGCAGAACACTATCATTTCTTTTCTTCGTTCATTTTTTCCACGTTTAAAAATTTTCGATGAAAAATGAACTTTACTAAAATAAATGAATCCACTCCTAACAAAGAGTTGAAAAATATAACAACAATTTGGGATTAATATTCGTAATTTTTGACAAAAGTGCAAAATGATTCCAAAAATATAAAAAAATTCTCTGTACATCTGGTAAATGTCATTTTAAAGAGCATATAATGTAGAATAATATATACTTTTTTATCAAAATACGTTTACGTCTCTTCTGAAGTTAAACTTAATCTTTCAAACAGGTGTACATTGTGCTTCTATATTTTGACGTAGAATCAAACTGGCGTTGCATCGAAGTATTAAAAGACACTAATGCGACGGTGTCGAAAATCGAGCTAGCGATCGTGACATTGTCGGTAAAATCGCAGCGTAGTCCTCGAGTACTCTTCTCGCGGTCTCGTTATCCGTATTACCGGTTGCATTCTTAGGCCTCATACAAGTTACCAACTGTCGCGCCTGAGTGGTGCAAGCGGCGGATTGTTGCATCTCTCTCGGGGAAAATATTTTGTAGGTGTAATCCAGTAACTTAGCAACGACACAATCGAGGACTGTGTCTTTAGGAATTTCACCGTAACCACTCTCCGCACAATCTTTGATCATGACGCTCATCCAGTTCCAATCTTCCCATTCTTCGTTATACTTCACATGAAGATTTTCCAATTGCCATATCAAATGTGCACGAAATCTATAAAGCGTAAGAAAAATAACGATTTCTTGAATTATCGATATTCTAACTAAATACGAATAAAGTATACATGTATATATCTAACAGTGAAATTTCTTTTTTGTTACAGAGCTCTTAGCGTTTCCAGATCTTTTAACTGAAACCACTGGCATAATCACAGGCAACGCATAATAGACTTTTCAAGTATGCACTTGACAAAAGGAGGTCGAAAGAAGGTTACGTTTCTCATTTTTCTCGCAACTCGTTTAAAGTTAGCGGAAAACGGAGAGCAGTTCGAAAGACAACTCACCCCCACTGCCACGGGTTCTTTTCGAACTTGATGTTTTTAAGGCTTTTAAGATAGCCGAACATATTGTAGTCGATATATTTAATTTGGTTGTAATCGAAGTAGAAATTCTCCAAATTGGGAAGCAGAGGGAACGTATTGTAGTCGATTACTTCGATAAAGTTGAACGATAGGTCGAGGGTTTTCAAGCTGTACGTGTTCATGAACCAGTTACTGTACACAGCTCTCAATTTGTTGCCCCATAGTATTAAATTCTGGAGTCTCGTGAGGCCTATGAACGCCAAAGAATCTATGGTCTCGATCCCTGATCCGTGCAGATCCAGATTTACGAGGGTCAAGCCAAATCTTGCGAAACTATGTCTATGAACATACAGAAGTGTACCAAGGTTTATCGTTTGTCTCTTACCAATGATCTTTTCTAGCTTTATCGTTAAACACATCATGATTTAGTTCTATTTTCCAGGTTTTAACGTGAAAGAACACCACGCCTACAGTTGAAATTGAAAGAAATAGAAGATAAAATTCTCTGTTTTCTTCTTACCCAGGTACATTAAGTATCTTCGAATCAGAAATTTCGATGCTGGTGATGTTACTACCCGCTTTCTCTAATTCCGTCAAACTCGTCAATTCGGTACAAACGAACGCCACGTTATTATCTGGTTTCTCGGTGATGGTTTGACATTTGCTCGTATCCGCTACGACGCTTGCCAATAGATTAAAGATGAAAAATGTATTCAATAGACGCTTCATGATTCGCTGGTGAAACCGAGAACGACGTCGTACACGAATGTTTAATTAACTGAACCGTTTCTGATGTCCGCGCGATGCGCAACTGAATCGCGTGGGCGGCGGCAGCGAGTATCCTTCGTTTCTTGTTACGCTTTCCTCTTTTGATAAGGGTATCAGACTCTGTGTACATGATTGAAAAACTCGTTCTCCTATAAAATCCGTTCTCGTGTGTATTTTTTTTTCTTTCCTTTTTTTTTCTTTTTCAGGGTATAGATGATTGGAGAATGTAACAGAAAATCATGTATTACACAAACGACTTTTTTTATGGTAAAAACAACGTTTATTGTCGTACATATATACACGGAATACACAACTCAGACGATTTTTAACATCGATAAAATCAATACATATATTTCATTTCTCTCGCTACCGAGAACGTCCCGGTGAACCGATGACAATGGCGATGATGATAACGAGGCATTAGCGAAAACAAAAGAAGATAAAAAAAAAAAACGATGGAGCACGTTCGTTCGTCCGATCCCACCATTCATGCCAGTCCGATTCCCTCTCTTAACGAATTCGTTGGAAATGAACAAATTCTGAACAACAGAACACATTCTCCTCGCAAACATTTTATTTTTCAAGTGTTCCTCCTCAACATCATGTACGCGCACTAAATACTTATACATATATGTTATTATAATACACAATATGAACCGTTCCGTTCTCGTTCGAAAATAACTGTACATCTATGTGTTCGGCGGTGACACATGTCGGAGAGAGTGAGAGAGAGAGAGAGAGAGAGAGAGAGAGAGGGAAAAATAGTGAAAAAAAAAGAGAAAAATGAACGTGATCGATTCGGTAGAGGTGCACGCGGCTTTCTCGTGTAATCGGGCAACGACGACGACGACGACAACAGTGTCTGCTAGTATAAATCGGTGATTGATATTCTTTCTTCACCGATTTTTATCCTCTCGTATACAGCTACAGTTATTGTCATAAAAACCGTTCGTTATTTACACCATAGAACGATACACATCGATTGCGTTTTTTTTTTTTTTTTCGTTTTTTGATCAATCACACACACGTGAACGACAACACCTATTGTTAAAGAGTAGTCTTGAAGATTGTGCGTGCACTTTTACAACACGATAGGTAAAGAATCGTCGACGACGAGAAGGATTTTCACGGATCGAATGATAATTAGAACATATCGCGGTTTCGTTTATTTCGTCGTTTCTCAGATGTCGACGACTTGTTAGAACAACGTATACGAACGAAAACGAAGGTGTTAACGAACCGTTCTATACTTTAAGATCGTCTTTCTCTCGAGATATATAATCTTTTCTTTCTTATCTTATCCTCTCTTCAATTTTTTTTCGTTTCTCATATCCCTACGGCGAACGATCATTTGTACTCTGTGCGTACACATTCCGAAAAAACGGTGAACCGTCGTTTAGACGCTACCGATCGTCATCACTATCGCTACGAAAGCGAACATTAATTCTACGCAGTTTAATCGGGAATGTTGTCGCAACGATGTGACGCTATTCTGTACGTTCAGTTGAGTCGGTGCAAAATGCGCTGGCGCAGGTGCCGGCGCCGGATATGATGAAACTTTCGATTTTTTCACGCTGACGTCCGTCAAAGCGTTCGAACTGTTCCTCCTGAGAACAGACGTCGCATGCCCTGTATTTCCGCCATTCTTCACCGATGAACCACCGTCCCATTCGAACACGTGATGCTTCCCTTTTCTGTCCATTTGCTTCTTCGTCCCGTGTTTGTCGATGAATTCCGTGTTGTGCCGGCTAGGCGTCGAGGTTGTCCTCGTTAAATGCAACTCTGCAAGCATTTCATCGAAAAGAATCTTGGAGGGAAATTTCGTTTATCACAGTCGATCCTCTTTGTAACACGGTGGAAAAAAAATTGCGAACGTTCCTCGTTTAACGCGATATTCTTTTAACCCAACTCGAGGCCAGTGATTTTTCGAAAATCGGTTCTCAGGAGCGAAATTTTTTTTTTTCTTTAATTAACATTGTAGATCATTTTTCGTGCAAGTCAGGCAATGACACACTCGCTTTGTGGTCCTAGCTTGAAACTAAGCTAAAACCTAGCTAGGTTTTAATATCTACAGAGCTTTAATTTTTATTTTCTTTAAAAACGATCTTATTTTCTTGATTGGTGCTTCGATAGTAACGTAATATGAACCCACGGTCGTTACACACACGGTGTGTCATTGGTCTTTTCGCCTAGGGATGGTATTACACACCTATGTGATCGGCCTCGAATGGGTTAAGGGATCTTCCTACTCCAACGGGTTGAAAAAATTGATTTCTTTTTTTCTGCATTTTCTTGTAGTTTAACATCTCGAAAATGTGTGCAGGCAGTTTTAAAGTTTAATTCTGTAAATTGGCAGAGGTATATGCCTTGGAAGGAAGTGGTTTTATATAGCCTTAAACTGTAGTTAAAACTTTAAACGCGTTTTTCTCGAAGCGGAATTTTTGAAAGTGGCTGATATGATTACTAAGAAACCAGAAGTCCGAGCCACTGGAAATTTGTCAGGTATATTCGGTAGATGTTGCTTCATCGTTCCAACTAGAATTGTGGAAATATTTTCAAAATTCAGTCTTTATCGCACAAACCTCGGTTTTTAAAAAAATATTCATACGATTTCGATATGCGAGGGTTGAAGTCATAGTGGTGTAAGTGACATTTCCGAAAATTTGAACTTAAGTGCTGAAATGCAACCTACACATGCGAAACTGTTAAAAAGACAAGTGAAGTATGTTATAATTTGGACACAAGCTATCTGGTAACATTGAATACTCTACAGTGCCAAATTCGATACCGTGTAATTTGCTTGATCACTTCTAAATAACATTCTCTGTATTTCAGAATAAGGAAATTCTGACTTACACAACTACGACTTTAACCCTCTCACATAACACGGAACAAATCCCCCTGGTTTACATTCGTTCTAAGTTTCTCTGCACCACACTCCTAGAACACGATTTCGATATAACACGAAACACATTCCCCTAATTTCTCTTAGTTCGTGGTTTCGCTTAGCACCGCCTTCCGTACAACAAGTAACGAATTAACCGTGTTACAAGAGGATCGACTCTCCGAAACATAAAAAATAACACAGGAGTGAAAGATATGAAAGTGAAAAAAAGTAGCCTCTCTGTTACAATCGAAACTAAGAGCGGAACGAATTAACCGTGTTACAAGAGGATCGACTCTCCCGAACGTAATAAATAACACAGGTGTGACAAATATGAAAATGATAAAAATAAAGTGGTCTCTCTATTATCGTCGGAACTAACAGCGGGAAGATTCGAAGATTCGAAGATCTAAATGTTCCAACTGATATCTCGTTGTTATATACGAGAGACACATAGTATATCAGCAAATATAATTGCTTTCCACGGTAGTGAATCGTTGGGTCGAAACCGCGCGAGTGATCCGAAGCGTGAACAGCATCGTTCCTCCAACTACTGCTGTAATAGTTAGAGGATCGGAAGTCGAACGATCGTTACCTTGGAGTCTTATCGTTCCCTCCGCTTTGCCAAGTAGATTTTCCACGGAGCAGGTGTAATTGCCGAAGTCGTTCCTGTTCAATCGCCTGATGGTCAGGTTCAAATGATACGCGTAATCGTTCACTGGCAGCTCCGTTAGAACGTATTTCTGGTCCGATAATAATTTTATACCTGCAACTGTGCACCATTCGGCTCGTGGGACAAGGGAAAATATAACGTTCGCGTTACAATGACGATCAGAATCCTGTTACAACGGATGTGAAACGCGCGACATTGAGAAATAACAGGGTCGATTTGAAACAAGGTGCGAGGGTGGTGGTGTGTAAGGGGTTTGGGATGGATATTATAGTGCTCACCACCGTGCCTGTACCACGTATTCAGTGCTTTTGGCCAGGACTCGACGTAGCAACGAAGAACGACGTCGCTGTTAGCAGGTGCCGCTACTAATTGGTCCGAGACTGTAATCAGCGGTTTAACTGCACCAGAGAGAAAACTATAATTAATCATTGGAAGTTTCTTCACGGATACGGAGTCGGAGAGGAGCGGAGAGACGGAGAGAGGGAAACTGATGACTTAAACGCGACGAGGAGAGGAAACATAGGGATGGATAAGTCCATCGCTACTCACTTACATTGAACGTTCACGTAATATCTTTTGCTGACCGTGGGCGGCACACCGTTCGAAGCGATGCAAAGGTAAGAGCCCATCTCTTGACGTTTAATCGACTTCAAATGTAGCTGTTCCCCTTCGTACGACTCTACTGCATGGAAACATTTTCAACTGGTCACTTTTAACATCCACCCGTTAACCCTTTAACACGTTCCATCTGCGGTACCTTCGTTCTCTCTGCGGCTCATTTTTCATCCAACCTTCGTCATTCTTTCAGTATTTTCACGGTAAAGGGGAGTAATCGTGCCTTCGCAGGGTGAAATAAGAAAATTTGGCGAAGAGACCGAGAAATTTGTCTCGTATCGATAAATAAGGAAGTTTTGGAAAAAAGCTGCCGCAGTGAACGTGTTAATTGGGAATTGTGTTGATAATCACAATTGTCTACTTTATCGTCCAATTTTAGTAATTTTCTGATAACGTGATTATAAAATTGAAGCAAGCACGGATAAGAAATTTGCCAAATAACAACGATTTGGCGGGACATTCAAATCATTTGCCGGGGAAATAAAATATTTTAACCCTTTGCGGACAGAGGACTACGCGCCATGTCGAAATAATGATTACTTGTACAATACACAATTAGGTCACTACTTCGATCTTTTTTATAAAACTAAATCATCCGAAAATCACATTTCCCTCGAATATGTGTACACGAGTTCACGCTCGCGCCAACTATTTTTATTACTTAAAAAAATGTGAGCTTATTGGTTGCGCTAATATTGTTTTGCGAACGCATATATTAGTCTATCGTCCTCGAAGGGTTAAGCGAGAAAATGTGCAAATTGATACCCAGTTATTGACATAAGTGTTAACTCGTCATAGTGAAATGTTTCTTGAGCGAGCAAGACTAGTTAACACATTGGCGTCGGGGCGTTTTGGAGCCGCGTTTGACATAAGTACGGGATGATTTTGCGTCTTTTCTTTGGATCACGTTACATTGGAAAAAACTACTCCAACTCTTTAATTAATTAATATTTCTCCTGAGTCATATACAGTTTTTTTGCATTCATGAAACATCTGTCGTGGCGTATTTTTTTAATTAACCCTTTCGCGACGGCGGAACTAGGAATCAGAACGCCACGGTGCCGTTAGTGCACACCATGAGTCTCGCGTTTTTCGAGCTCCCAGTGTGTCCGTGTAAAGTCTTAGAGGATGTCGTTGGAACAGCAGGGGACTTAAGGATGTATTGAATAAAGGGAATGTTGTTGAGGCCTTGTTCTGTATTTTAAAATAAATCCAGTAAGAAATCTTCACTTTGAGTTGTTGAATTGATGCGATTAGTGGATGCCGGATATAACCGGCGCTAGCCAGTGTGAAGCATTTAGTGGATGCCGGATATAACCGGCGTTAGCCAGTGTGAAGCATTTAGTGGATGCCGGATATAACCGACGTCAGACGCGAAAGGGTTAAACTTGAATGACTCATACATGCGTCATCCGACGCTAATGCGTTAAAATATAACAAAAAATGTCACAAATCATTCGACACTGAGCGCACAAAATGCGCTTCCGACAAGTTAGCTCCTCGGTTAAAACCTTAAGACTGTAAGCTCTGCGAGTTTTATCAGAGAGAGACTCGTCTTGCGAACACTGCATCGATATTACTTTACATCTATGTTTGTACATGGTAATTTCCATTCAGTTTCACTACGATTCTAAAGTAACTCGTAGACATCATATCGACATTTCTATTTCACCCTACTGCATTCACGTTTAACCGGTAATTCAACCGAATCTCGAACCTATCGAGCGTTTCTTGCGGCTATTATATTGATATTTTTATCGTGTGTTACCGCTTTCACTTGGTCTGGTAATTCTACTTTATTCCGACGATATTAAAGTTCCTCGTAGCCATTGTATCGATACTTTTATTCCACGTTACCACTTTCGTTCAATCCTTGCGGTAATTCCATCGCTATTTTCCCGCCAATTTCGAACTTCCACGATATTTCGCTTTGTTTCATAGCTTCCGTACGGAACCTACGTACTTTGGACATTTTCAAAAATTTCTACCCACTTCAGGATACACGTACTCCGAAGCCCGACCTAACCTAATCTAACCAGAATCGTTTAATCGTATTCCAGTATTTAATATTCCTCGTTTTCATTACGTCTCTAGACGAACGTAACCGTACAGTGAACGACGTGGACTGGATTAGCTCGTTAAGGGGGCCGAAACAGCGGGAGAGATACTTTTTTCCCTCCCCCGTGATACGTTTTCGGGGTGGAAGATCGTGGAATCGCAACGGGCGCACGATATAGATTCCGAGTGGTAGACACTTTCGTGGCGCAGTGTACACAGTGAATATTGCAATCGGGTACGCGAATCGATGGGGTCGGCGAAGAGGAAATATATGTAAAGTCAACATCCATCACTCACTGTTAGAAAGGCTAATCGGCTAGCTGATTTTCTACGGAACGCGATGGACCCGACGCGTTGATACCTTCAACGAACGCCTCGTTGCACGCTCGTAGCTGCATGAAATGCTTCGATGAATTTGTGTCTGTGAATTTCTTTCTTAAATTTTACGGAAGTCACCCTTTTCGTTTTTCTTCCATGTAAGAAATCTTTTCAACCCTTTGAACTGCAAATTTGTTTGTTTTAAGTTTTCTTTTCAATAACTGCCTGTTGTTAGGTTGTCCGGAAATAAATTGCGGTTTCTGTACGTGAGATTTAAAGACGCGTAGTTTTGCTTAGAATGAATTTATTTAAACGAAATAATTTCCATTAGATTCTATACACTTTTTCCAACGTTTGCGTTATCGCGTAGGAGTATTGGTCCCTTACGATTTACCAAACTTGCTTGCTTAACAAATAACTTTTTATGCATTATAATCATCAGTTGTGCTTTCACCGAATACATGATCGATATTGCGGCCAGTTTCCGCGGCTTTACGTCCTAATTTAAATTCATATAAAAATATGCTACGAATTTGCTTCTTGTCCATTGTTACGTTTTTAAGTTATACTCGGAACAAACGACGGTAAAAAGCAAAAGTGTATCGCTTATACGATAGAGCGACAACTACGCGTTCAAATGGTATATTACTTGATAAACATAAATTTAAAATATATAGTATAGAAAAGCCCTAAATATGACTTAACAGAAAAGCGCAATTTGTTACCGGACAACCTAATATTTGAAGAATTTTATTTGAAATGCACTTCGAAAGACATTTCGTTGATAGGAAGCAATTTAAACAATTTTTTTTACTAATTATATTGAAAACAGCATTAAGGGTCGTGTATATGTGCACCGATTGCTCGTCCAAGTAAAAAACATATTGCAACATATAGTACATATTTAAAGTGGCAATTTAAAAATTACTTCGTTCGTACCTGTGAATAAAACTGATGTCGAGTCACACTCGACGAAGGAGACCAAAGGGTTAACCCTTTGTGATCGAGTGGCGACTGAGAAGCGACATTAAATAATCGTCACTTGGTAAATAATTAATCAAGTCAGAGAGCAGATCTATGGGACCTCTATAAATTTGTTTATTATAGTGAAATAGAGAATACGTTGAATATTTAAGTAAAATAGTATAGTTTATTTCTGCGTTAATTTGAAAAAATTTCAAACATCCGATTTTCAAACTTTTCTATAGCAAAATGACCTCCGAGTGCAAAGGGTTAATCTGCAGGCTACAGGGATTGGTGAAATTAGACGAAAAACCATCCAAGTGAAAGTATGTTAGAATATTTATGAAAATTCGTTTCTTTCACCCGGGGGAATATTAAATTTTCGCAATTTTTGTCGTTTCGAAATATTCCAAACGTGCGTGTGATTGCGAAGGTGGCCTAACTCGAATATTTTTCGCTTCGAGGTATTTTGCACCTTCTCCTCTACGTATATTAAAAAATATTTCGCAAAGTACTTCCTCTTCTAATATGAATATTTTCTGTGAAAAGATTGCTGCTGTAGAAAAACAACGATAAATTCGGTTTTTCTAGAGTTTTCACTTAGGCCAGTTTCGTAGACGCTAACTATTACATCGTCCCATAAGTTCGTGCCGAAAGTGAAAAATATTTGACCCAAAAATCCAAGGAAATTCTATACTGACGACATAATAGCCTTATCACAAAAAAAAAGGCGTTTACTTTTTTTTTATCTAATTTAAAAATTCGTTGCAAATATTGATCTGAATTATAAAATTCGACACGAACTTATGGGATGACGGAATTATTTTCAATTTTTAATTTCAAAAGTGAAAAGTACGAATGACAACAGAAATCATTTAATCGTTAGCTGAAAGGTGAAATAACGAGCAGCACTTGAACACTGTCCAGTGTAAAATCTCTCGAATAAAGTGTAGTACGATTACAATAACTCTAAGAAACTATCAGCGATCATAATTTTGCCAAATGTTACCTCGTTGCACACCGTTCTCCGTCCAGAGTGTAATATTTTTTCGGTCCTCTCGCCGCCAGGTGACCACTGGCTTCGGCGTCCCCGTGGCGACACACCGTAATCGCAGATTACTGTTCTCTTTAACTGCTAGGAGGTCGGCTGAGTCGTTCGAATTCATGATATCGGGCGGTATCACTACCTTCATGTGACCCGTCTGCGGAAAGATCGTTACAGGATAGGATATAGCGCCATTTGTCTGCCAGTGGAAAAGATCCTCTGACCCCAGGTTGTCCAGGCCGTATTCTCTACTCTCGAACATTTAAATCAAGCTTAACCTCCCCGGATTCAAAACCTCAACAGACGCGCGAACTGCTCCACCGAGAGAGAGAGAGTGAGAAAGAGAGAGGGGGAGGAGGTAGGGAGAGAGTTGTCTCTAATCTAGCTTTGCTATCGAAAAAACATATATAGAACAAGGGTTACCAATCATGTACGATAACAGGGATAGGTTCAATACAGCGAATCGAGTAACTCGCCATTATTTTTTTTTTTAGTATTTTTTTTCTCTCTTTTTATCATTCATGTGCTTTCACTCGCGCTTTCACGCGAAATTTCCAATTCAATTTTGTCGATGTTATCACCAGCCGTCCCTTCGATAGCAATATTTTCGACATGTCAACCGTGTTGCGCCAAATCGACGGTAATGCAGCTACGTTATCTATTACCTCGACTCCATCGTGTATGTAGGATACTGTTGAAACGTTTAAAAAAAAGCCCCAAAAATGGTGATCATTAAAATTCTATCGTTATACGTGGCCCGGGAAACATTTGTGGAAGGAGAACGCGCGTTTGATAACTGCATACAGGGTGTCGCGTTAGTTAGGTTTGTATTAAATGTTTCCGCTGTTTCGAGTTATAGTTAGCGAAACTATTTACAAAGATCGCGTGGTTTTGAGAGGGACGGCAATGATAAGCAGCATGTGATTTGCTGCATCTTTTCTGTATTCTCTATATTTTATAAATCATATCGAATTTAATTATAAAAAGAATAGAGAAATTCCGTTGAGAAGGTAATTCTTTTAAAGTGACCATTGTGTCACTTTCAAACCGTGCAAATTTTGCAAACAACAAATAAAAAAATATAAACATTCTGTTAGGAAAAAAACATTTCCAAAGAGTTTGACTATTATGTCACTCTTCGAAACCATGTAACTTTTGCAAAACAACATATTCTCCTGTTGCTCAAAATAGCGGAGATGTGTCAGGTGGATAGAGCTAGTAGAGACACATGTACGCGCCAGAGTCGTTCGGCTGGACGTTGGTCACGTGCAGTCTCCACGTGTCGTGTCCGTTGTGTGTGACAGACAACCGTGGATTTTGAGCAACCATGTGCGTATGAATAGCCAGGATAGCTTTGGAGTCGGACTTCATCCAGGCGACCTGCATAATACAATCACCGGCCGTGAACGTTCTAGCAGTTTCAGCAACCGATTATAAACCGCGTCTCTCCTCGTGCCCGCATTACTTACAGCACCCACTCGGCCCTTATAGTACCGCCATTTTAGAATTAGTTTATTATGGATGATACTTCTTGTTCTCTCTCTCTCTCTCTCTCGTTCTGTCAAGTTAGAATGACTAAGAACGACGTGTACATATATGTATATATACACATATATATATATATATACACAATTCAAGTCCGTAATACATTTCTCCGCGGTCTGAGGGTAGAGGGTGCAATAAGAATAATGCGTTTCCCGCTTGAATGTACCAAGACTGATCGCTCAGGTTGTAGATGTTGCCGCTTTAGTGTCTATTGAACGTTGCTAGTGGCTTGGTTACTTTCTTGATTAAACAGTTAAACCGTCTCCCCCTTTAGAATAGTCTCGATCAAGGCATCCTTCTTATTACGCCTCTCCTCTTTGCCCGATCCCTCAGACCGTGTAATCCTAACGAGGTATGAATAGTAAATTTCAAAAGAAACGTTAATTTCGATGAATTCTTCTGGTTTGCATTTCTTTTTTTCTTCTTTTTTCTTTTCGAAAGCAGCGAAATACAAATTGGACGGTACACTTCGGACTATAACTCTTCTGTGCCACCACGGTTTCGTTGTGACCATACACGGAGGAAATAGAGAGATTTGCTTTTCGCGGGTTGTACGTTCAGATAAAACTGAAATTATTTACACACACGCGAATTACATATTTTACGCGTCCGTACATAGACGCTCGGGGGAGGTACAAGTTTCCTCTCCCAGCGCGAACGTAAACGCTCTCTCCGATTTCCCGTTCCCTTCTGTATTCATGAATTCCAACATAAATGCGCCCGTTAAGACTCGGAACGTAAATATTATACTGTAATAAAAGAAAGGAACCGGGGAGAAAAAAAGGCTCATATTACCCGGTATAATTTAACTCTTATTCCCGCCATTTGTTGCTCCGTATGAAACGAACAACGCCGAAAATACACACGCGCGAACATCTTTGCGATTATTTGTATGCGAGCAGTAAAAAGCACGCAAAAAAGAAAATAAAAGAAACACCGCGACGTGCAAAACAACGCTAGAATTTCATCGGATACAAGAGGAATTTGAACAACACGAAACTGTTCTACGATGAAAAATATGCGTTCGATCGACGTTGTTACGAACAAAATTTCCCATCGTTCGTGGACTAGCATCGATCGGGTGATCATGCTCGTTATGTAAATCGGAAAATTCATTTGTAACCCGCTCCCTAGGTCGAAACGTAATTATTTACTTGAGGATACCGGCGCAAGTGAATGAACACTGTTATTGGATTCCCTGGATTCAAATTCCAATCGGTGTTCGTACTTCCCGTTTAGTCCCCGTTTGTACGAACATACTTCCTGCGTGCTCGATCTGTCGTATTTCAAACGACGATTCCATTGAACGGAGTGAAAGGGCTTTTAAAATCGACGGAACAAAAGCGGCGTTTTGATCCAACGGCAATGGAATTTAAGGTGTGCATAAATAATGCTGATGGACTGTTCGCCGTTCTGCCCGACAGAATAATTCTACCTGTTGGCGGGAAAAAAATTTTTTTGCGCAAACAATCAGTGCTAGAATTCCTCCGTGTGCTAACGCCTCCCTCTCATCTGTATATACATACACATACATATGTACATATACATGTATATGCGTGTGTGCGCGCGCGCGTGCGTTGGCCTCCGTGGCATCTGTTATATCTCTCTCGCGTTTCAGAATTACATTGAATCGACACGTTTTACGTGTTCGAAAACGAACGCGCGGCAGATCGATGCCGCGGCCGTTTAAAGTAATTACTGTCGACGGAATCGTTTCACGGCTGAATTTCGGAAAAATCTTGATCTCGAGCGGGCGGGAAATACCGGTGAAATGACGCGGAACGTAATGGAGCCTTGACGAGGGAGGAAAGGAAGGAGAGAAGTACGAGAAGGGTGAAATTTTCTGTGAACCTTCGTAGACCATAGACGACACGGGAAATCGTTTATGATATAATTACTGTTTCATTGTTCACGAGAGTACGACGTAGGAAGAGTGGATTATATGTACTCTCCGAAGAAGAAATAAATTGCGAAGAAAGGAATGGAAAGGGAAAGGACATCGAATCCTCTTAGACTGGCAAAAATCAGGCCCATTCATGTTGTACGCTATATTAGCAGCTCTGATTTATGTCTCTTCTTTCGAGCTTCCTTTCTTTTCTACCAGATACTCACTCCCCGCTTCGACGTGTAACATTCCGTCTCCCCCTATGCTACCACTTTTTCCACTTCTTCTTCTTCTTCTTCCTCCTCCTCCTCCTCCTCCTCCTCTTTTTCTTCAAAGCACTAGGCAGGAGTGTCTGTGTCCTTGTTCGTTCTTTGAATCCGCCAGGACGAAATCCTCTGAACACGCGCCAAGAACGTTTCATCTCGCGATAGAAGCGATTGTCGATTCGAGCGCGCAATCAAACTTGGACTTCTTCTCGAAAGTGAATTACTCGGCCCGGGTCTGTCCCGCAAGGGTTTTCTGGACCGGGTGGAACTGGGTGTGGACCGATGAAAGTGCAAACCCGCGTTACTTTCTATCATAATCGACACCGTACGACTGTTCTCAATTTTCCTGTACAACCGTCGTTACACCCTCGTTTGTACGTCGCTGATCTACGTTGTACGATGGGACAGTTGTATGGCAAAAGGTTGGCGAACAACTCGATACGATTAACCACGATTTGTTCACACAAAGTTGCACACAAACGATAAGTGTTACAGTTTCGTTGAAAACACGATCCGTCCAAGTGACGGGTTCGCGACTATTTACGGAAATGCGATTTAGGCCGGTACTTACAATTTCGAGGCGTTGCCCTTAATCGACTAGCTAATTACACCGACACATGGTTGCAATTACCTTGTAAGAGTGAAGATGATTAACGACGCAGGTGAAGTAGACGTCACGACCTTGAGTGACCGTATGGTTCTCCAGGAGTGCTAGAAATTCCGGCTGGAACTCGGACTTCGGCATCGCTTGACCTAGGCCTCCGGTAGGTATAATTAACGATCGTGTAATTAATGATCCGGCAAATTTTACATCTATAAATTTTAGCTTCAGCTTTACATAGATTCGCCCGGAACAACGTTACGGAATCTCTGTGATGCGCGTATCAAGTATAGAAAGAAAGAAAAAAAGAAGAGAAAAGAGAAGGTATTAGACGGGTATTATCGTTTGAATCCGGTATTTTCATTGGACATTTGCGCCTCTCTTCCGTTCATCCGATCCGCTCGATATTGATTTCTTTAATCTTTTACATCTCTCTTAACGCGACCAGCTTAATCTAGCTCGTCATGCGTATCGCTCGTCTATAGATTCACGGGGCAGGCGTACGCGACAAAGTTATGGGGCAATAATTCTTTTTCCACCGGCTCTATTCAGATTTAGTTTTCTCTTCCTCGTTTGACATGCCGCTTTTTGTGTCGCGTGGCACGTGGACGTTCCGGGGAGTGAAAAAAGAACAAGAGAGAGAGAGAGAGAGAGAGAGACAAGAGGGGTGCCGTGGCGAGGCATTTATTAACCGTATCAATCGTGAGTGTCGCAACCTCTGACATCTTATTAAATAACAACCGTTCCGCGTGCGGTTCGAACGTGAGAGAAGGAGAAATAACGAGTTCGACGGGGGGTGATTATGCCTTTGTCGCACGTAACCGGACGATGAAACGCGGAGAAATTGGATATCAAACGAATATTTTAGGGGGGCGGGAAGTGAAAAGGTGAGGGCAGGGCAACGTTTAACCGTAAAGGTGTGCGCGCGTGCGTGTTCACGTTTTCTCTCTCTCTCTCTATCTCTCTATCTCGTTCTTTCTTTCTCTTTTTCCCTCTTGTAATTTCTACCACCGCGTTCACCTTGCGCGGGAATGCTTTTACCGGAAGCTCCGTAGACTTCCGATAGTGCTTTTAGGGGCATTTTATTTGATTCTTACCGAAAAGTGGAGCAAAGAAACGCGGCACGGAAGTAAAGGAGCACGCTGCGATGCTATTACGGATACAAGAGATTCGTTCGTATCATTTTGAAGGGATTAAAAAACTTGTAACTTTCGCGTCCGTATTCCGGCCAATTCAAACTTCTTCTCCCATCGCTGCCATTCACGGCAAGTGAAGAGTACCAGCCGGGTTCGCGGATTCTTAGGGGGAGGGATATCTCGTTTGATTCTTACCGAAACTGGAGTAGAGAAAGACGGTGAGGAAGAAGCACAGAACAATGTCCCGCGATGCCATTCCATAGAGTAGGCCATACGCCATACGTACTGGAACAGAGACACATCTACTTTATATTTGTCTCGTTTTAGTTTTCGTCGTATTACGATTTCTTTTTGTAGTTTACCATAGTATTTGACGATTGGTTAATTGTTTCAGTGATCAGTGCTGCTTAATCAGGTTTTCTGTATCGTCATATTCGTGTGTATATTGGTTTCGTTAAACGTTTAGAAATAGATATTTGCACCTGACAAATGGAAATTGAATGGAGAGAGCTAGCTTAAAATTATGATCAATTGCTTGATTTTAGTCGGTGCAAATGTGAATTTGATGTATTTTACGTTTAATACAGGCATTAGAGTACCTATAGTGAAAAATAATCCCTTAATCAATAGACCATTGTGTTCTAAGTATTCGTGAACTAATCATGAGTCATATTTTCCAGTTAACAGGAACTTGTAAAAAAGTTAAGAAATTATTGAAAAAAAAACGCTGCTAGGATCTATCGATCCTTGTATACTTTACAAACTATTGCGTTTTAAGAAGTGGTGAATCAATGATAAATTATCTTATCCAGTTAACTTGGAAATTTACAAAAAAGTTAAGAAATTTTTATTGAAAAAGGAACACTGCTAGGAGCTACTAGCTCCCATATACTTTATAAACTATCGTGTTCTAAGTATTGGGGAACCAACGATAGGTTATCTTACCCAGTTAAATTAGAAATTTACAAAAAAGTTAAGAAATTTTTATTAAAAAAAGAACACAGCTAGAATTCACTGATCGTCATATGCTTTATAAACTATTGTGCTCTAAGAATCTATGGACCAATGATGAGTCATCTTACCCACTTAACATAGAAACTTCTCATCTTTTGCAGTTAACATACAAAATTGCAAAAATGTTAAGAAATCATTATGAGAAAAACGCTGCTACGATCCATTGAGTCTCATATACTTTATAAACTATCACGTTCTAAGTATTGTTGAACAAATGATGAATCATCTTACTCAGTTAACATAGAAGTTTACAAAAACGTTAAGAAAGTATAAAAAACACTTTGTTAGGATCCATTGAGTCCCATATACTTTATAAACTATTGCGTTCTTAGTATTGTTGAATCACCGACGAGTCATCTTCTCCAGTTAACTCAGAAACACACAAAAAAGTTGAGAAATTATTATAAAAAAAAAAACGCTATAGCCCACTGTAAATACCTCGGTCCCCGCCATACTTCCACCGAAGTTACGTTAATTATCCGAAGTTCCGTGAAACAACGACGGCACGGAACAATCATATATCAGCCGATCGGCGAAGAGAAGACGCCATAATGTGACGAACGGAAGGGCGAACTCAAGAATTCCGCGTGGCCGTATGCGGAAGCAGGTGCTGGCGGGGAAGCGGGGTCAGGCTGAATCGCGTGAATATTAACTCGACAGTTGGTCGCCACATAAACGCCAACCGTTGATATATCCCGTCCTCACCCTCCTGCAGCCAGCACCGCAATAATACTCGAATAGTGGGTGCCTCTGCTGCCTCTGCTCGTTCCCTTTTCAGCCCCTTCGAAGCCCGAGAGTATCCTCGCCGCCCTGCCCCGAACCGTGGGCGAGGAATCCGCGCGCGGGATACGCACACTCGCGCGAATCGCGCCGCTACACCGGGGCTAACGTTTGCACGTAGAGACCGGTCAAATGAAAATTTCGCCCATGCCGAAGTCTGCCCTTTATGACTTCGAGCCACGTTCTCTTTGCGTTGCCGAAAATTACGCCGTGACCGCGCTATTTAACTTAAATAACCTCCAAACCCTCTAACCGACGCATTTACCGAGGGCTGAGTTTCATGAAGGGGGCCGGGGGGTAAAGCGAAGGGGAGTAGGTGAAAAACAGCAGAAGAACGGTGCGATACGGAGTTCAATATTTTTATCACACAACCACACGTTCGTAGAGAACAGGAAAATTGTACGGTAGGTTGAAGTTTGTCGCAAAATCTGGTCCCAGGAAGAAACACACTTGCACCAGCTGATATCTTGATAAAGTGAATTCGTAATTAATCGTTTTGTACCCGGGAGTTTCATTAACACTTCGAATTGCTCGGATGGCGCTATTACCTCGACGTTTAAATCTCCACCAGCTGACTGACACCGTGTGTTACTTATAGAAAAAGATGTACAAATTTGAAATTTTCTATTTCAGGCTAAAGAAAAGATTTTGGTTTTTATTGTTAGAGGAGGTTTGAATATGGGCTAGCACTTTTGTTTCGGGATTTATTGTCGAACTTGTGGATGATTTTTAAGATGTAACACTTGAATATACATTGATAATATGTTTACTGTGTGATACGGAATGAAGATAAGCTGAAGGAAAGCAACGTATGTTGGAAATTATACATTTAAAATAAAAGGTAAAATCTTGATTTTTAGATATGGGCCACTCGTAAGATAATCGAAATAAAAGTAAGAACTGCATATTTTCAGGTTGAAATATAAAGTTTATGTACATAGAAAAATGTAAACTTAAACTGAAATGCTATTTACAATATTCGCAATAGTCACAAACGTGTATATCTTTTTCAACATTTTATACATTTTTCGTTTTTGTCTTTCTTTTCAATGTTTTAGTGTTTTTCTTATTAAAATTCCCATAGTCACCGAATTCTAATATTGGCCAGTCCATATTAGCCCAAATTATAAAGCTGCTAGCTTTGTAGCCCATATTTACACTACCGGCCAAAAGTTTGGAATCACTGTGCATTGCAAGTTACACGAAAATTCCCAGAAAAAAGTCAGCAGCTTTAAGAATTTTTTCACGAATTTTGTATCATTCAAATCAATATATATCAATATCAAGTTTATGAAAACTTAGTAGCAGATTCAGTACTGATGAAAATTGGGAGGTGATTCGAAACTTTTGGCCGGTAGTGTAAACCATTTGGTCAAGGAACGCTTAGAGCGATGTTATTCGCTACAAAACTTATACTAAAAAGAAGCTCACAATATCAGCAATATAATACTCTTAGTTAATTACCTCTCAGTTCGAAAAATTATTGCTGAAACAATAAAACGAACCTACCTGAAAAATCTTTTAAAACATCGAGAAATAAGAGAAATGACACGTTTTAAATGCAAGTCTCCTCCACGGTGCTTGTTTTGTTCCTAATTCCTAGTTTCGTGCTATTTTCAATACGGTCAAGCACTTCAACTAGCCCGTATTTACACCTTCTCCTCTAATAAAAACACACTTCACCTGTATATCATGAAATGTTGAATCGAAAAAACATTCGTACACAGCAACGCGCGCTGGTAGGTAGGCACCTACTATCGTTGGAAATATTAAAAAGAATTTCTTCGGCGTGTGATAAACAGAGAAGTGATGGTACGATGACAAACGCAATGGGCACGCGTATATTTGACGGGAAATTCACCGGAGAAGGATAGACGGTGAGTGGGATGGATGGGTGGGTGGTTGGGAGTGGCAAATGAAAGCGCGCGATTCCCTACGAAGTTAAACCTTTAAAAATTCGCCCGCGCTTTTCCTCGTACGTAGCTCTCGGACGAAAATTACGGGGAGCCCCGACGCTGTGAACCACGACGGCCGACATGCATACATATTCGCGTTAAACAGTCCTGCGAAAGTGCATCGCGTTTCCACTGGACTGCTGCTTTTTAGGCGGATATACGAGATAGTCGAGTGGCGGCCATCAGCCGGCAACCACCTTTTTGTTATCCCCACCCCTTATCTTCTTCGTTCATTCATTCCTTCTTTCTTTCTTCCTTTTTTTCCGTATTTTTCGTTGGTTTTACAATATTTACAGGAGGACAACATCGTAACAGAGACAGAGGGAGGAAAAGCTTTTAGCGATTACACTTTCACATGGTGATTCAGAGAAAAAGAGGCTGTGTGTGGCACCGAGAGCAAGGGTTGAGGCAAAGTGAGCAGCGAAAGAGAGAGAGAGAGGGAGGGATGTTTCGCAAAGTCTAAGCGTAATTAGTAGCAACGTTTCTCGGTTTTCCAGCGGGAAAGAAAAGGAGAAGTAGAGAAAGAAAAAGTTTCGGGGCCGCGAAGTGAGCAATTAATCGAGCTGGAAATTGCCACGATACCACCAGCCGCGGGTGTGGGGAGGAGGCGGTTGGTAAATACAAATGTGATCATAATACGCGGCTACCGGTTAGACTTTAGCTTCTGTGCTCCGATAAATATTGTTCACAGTCGACCAATACGCGCGCACACATACCTCTTCACTCCCCCATATCACCACCGATCTACTTTCTCTGTGTCTCTTAATTAGTTTGCATGAATCTTTCATCGCGTTCTATTTAAGTGCACACACGCGGACAAAGTCCAACGATATGTGAGGGGGGAGGAAGGGGAATATTGTAATCGAGTTTGGTTTGGTAATCGTTTCGACGGTTCGATACACAGCATCTCTCTCTCTCGCTCTCTCACACGCCGAGCATCTCGAACCAACAACCCCATAGTATCGCGATCAATATAGAATTCCAGATGTTTTGAACGTACCTATTTGCCTGGAACGTGAATATAATTAAATGCATAACAGTGTCACGCGATCTTTTGAATATCCGTCATTAGCTGTACCATAGCAAATTAAACATCGAAACACCAATTTCCACGCCGAGCATACATTTCCGCCGCGTCTATCCTAAAGTGTATGCACAGAGTATTATAAACGCGCGCGCGAGAATTGCATGCTGTATTTACCGAGAGAATAACAGGCAACGAGTATCTCTCTCTCTCTCTAATACACATATATATATAGAGAGCTTCTCTCTCTCTGTGCCTCTGTGTGTGAGAGGTCCAATGAGCCGCGTGTACTGTTAGTCACTTTTGACTCGAAGGAAACTGGACGTGGTTCGGGTACCAAAAGCGTCTTTGATTCTCCATAAAGTCAGCCTCTCTCTCTGAATGTCACGTAAAACCATCTCCCCATGCATAATTACCGGCCGCATATCAATATTTCTCATGTGCTCGACCATAGAGGCTTGGGAAGAAGAGTTGAATACACGTGAATATGTGTGCGGTATACACACG